GAAGCTTTCTCAGTCTTTCTGCAACACAGTTCTAGTTGACACACTACCTCTGTAGAATGGCTGCAATGCCAGCTCCAGGTTTTGAGGACCTCTGAAGTCAGCTTCCCTTAGTGAGTCTACCTTTCCTCACCATGATCACTTAGTGCTATTAGTCCACATCGTCTTCTTCAGCATAGCTATCACTTGTTTCTTTGTGTCATCTTTGGGGTATGAGGCATACAGAATCAGAACACCAGGGCCAGGGATAATGGAGCTGGAAGGAGAACCCAACCTTACAGAGGCAAGTCTCATACATGGACAAGGTGTGGTAAGGCAAGAAGCAGAAGCAGCATAAGGAGCAGGTGAGGACCAAACCCAGGCAAATGTGTGGCAAGACCAGTGACAAAAGTGGAGTCAGGATCAGGCAAGATCCAATACATTGGTGTACTGGAGTTAACTACCAAGCTGGGAACACAAGACAACCATCACAAAGACTGTTGCAACAAAGCTGAGCAGGAAAGGGAAAAATTTATGGAATTTCCTCCGACTCCTAGTGGCCTGCCAGATTGGACTAAAGGCGATCCTGCAACCACTCACATGTCTGGGGCTGACCCTGCAAGGACTTGCATGATGGGGCAGGCTGTCTTGGCAGCCAGGCCACCTGGTGGAGCTGCAGTGCATGGCTGGCCTTGCAGATCCCAACAGCTTGTCAGGCAGATGGCAAGAAGGCAGTGGGTTCTCCTCCTTCTCCTTCTCACCACTGTCACTATCTGGCCAGAGGCAGCTGAATAAGCAGGTTGCAGTGGTGAAGAGAAGGAGCAACTCCAGGGTGGTTTTGTCAGTGAGAGCCTTGAAGGATGGTCCCCTTGGAGGAACCCAATCATGCCTCTCTTAAGATGGGCACCAAAATTGGCTTCCTGGTGATCAGGGCCCCATGTTATGAAGGTAACATAGGTAAGTACTGGCTAGATGGGCTTCTCAGATCACTGACTACTTCCCAAGACAAAGCAACACTTTTTTCCGGATGCAGAATTCTGGGTGATAAGAAAAGCAGCCCAAAAAGATGGTGGGAATGATGCATTTACAGAAACACTATTGTGTGCCTTCAGAACAGACAGAAATATAGAATTTTTCTTGGAATGTCAGTGAGACGTTGGGCACAAGGTCTAATTTTGCATCATTTGTAGCATCCTCTGGTAATACATTATGAAGTGTTCTGTTGTCCATAACACGCCACTGCAATTGGAGGAACATTTTAGAAGCGTGCAAAGGGGCACAAATGCAGTCAGTGTGTCAGATTTATACTTGACTGTGCTTAGAGTAGACCATCTGAGATCAATGGGATTTATGTTAGCCATGATGACTTGCCCTGCTCAAGTCTGGACCCACCCCTCAAGTGTACAGAATGATTATTCTATGCTTAAATGCAGCAAGGGAAACACATCCTGGAGGGTCACCTTTCTAGGAGACTATTTGCTCTTAGAAAAGGGATGGCATCTGCAAAACAAAGGTACACACATGATCTTCCTGCTGCTGGGTGCAGAAATCTGGGGCTAGGAAGCTGCCTGCAGTCCTGTTTTTGCATGTATGCATTCCAATTCAGCAGGGGACATATTCATGATTCCTAGCTAAGAATCTGACGTGCATACACAATTGAGTCTTTGGGAAAACATGTTTGATGCCACCTCCTACCATATAAATTGCACTGCCTATATTTCATTTTAATTCCTATTGCCTTATTTCCCAGTATAGGCTGAAAAAGCTGGCTGCATTAACAGGGGATGGACCCTGGGCCAGGGCATATCAAAACCATTTTGTATATTTTTATGCGGACTTTTCAACAGTGCACAATGTAGAGCTATGAAGGAGCCATATCTAGATATGCATCACCGTTTTCTCTTGAACACCCAAGTGAATTATTCTGCCAATATTTGAAAGGAAGCGTGTTCTCGCAGTGCTGTGTGCTAGAGGAAAACGATTACACTGAATAAGGTAGACTAGCTCTGTTATTGCGGTACATAAGACTTTGATTACATACTGCCAGGATTCATACCAGCCTAGTAGTTGTTGACAGATAAAGTAACAAAAATGAAACTCATTTATTTTTTCTTTATTGAGACCTCAAGGTAAAGCAAATTTTCAGGTCTCGTACTTACCGCGTGGAAAGAACAGTGGCTGACAGTCAAAGTGTGCCGGTCCAGAAATCTAAATTAAACCTAGTTTCATATCAAAGTTTCATTTAGTCTCTGTAAAGGAGCTGCTGCCTGGATTACTTTTCTTTTTTTAAAGCTAAAACAAATATATTGTGGATTGCTGCACTGTGTCCTGGATATATTATCCTTGTCATTTCTTTCTTTCTGTTTTTTTCTTTTTCCTTCCTGTTCTTAACAATGTAAGTGCAAACTATAATCTACTCTTTAATTTAAACCAAAACGTATACTCAGTTCTTATTTATCGGTATATGTCAACACATTGTTCAATGCAGAGAATCCCTGTTTATTTCCAACAATAGAAGAAACGGCACAACATCTTTAGTTATGTATCAGTAAGCATGTCAGGACAAAGTAGAATGGGAAGACCCATAACCCTCTGAATTTGGGGGATCGTGAGCATGCCAAGTAGGACAGGGGAAGGGCAGAGGTGGAAGCCACCTCCATGGTCTTCCCACCCTGCAAAGATGGGCAATTGCGGGTGTATAACTGTGGCACTTTGGAGCAAGCGGGAAGGAGACTGAGGTGCTATCAGGATGCATAGTTTCTTGGCAGCTCCAGTCTCCCTCCCTGCCACCCTCGCAAACCCCTTCTCTGAGGTCACTCGTACGACCTTGGAGAAGCAGTCAGCATGGCTCTTTCTGCACTGGCTGCAAGCAGTGGGGAGAGAGCCCCAGGCACTGTCAGAGGGCCATCAGATTGCTCTGCAAATGGCGCTTGGTAGAGTGCACACAGCAAAACACACGTCTCCTCGCTCCATTTACAATTACAACCTGTTCTGCTCCAAGGAGCTTAGAACATCTTGTGCGATATGGAAAAAAATGTGACCCCTATCTATATGAATTTCTGGAATTATATATATAAATTTCAGAAAATGTATGTGCTTTTTCTGTTCTTTTCTTTGTTTGATTTTTACAACATCTCGAAGCAGCTCACAAAATAAAATAATAACAATTTGCAATAAAACCCACCAATAAAACAGCAGAATTGCCCATTAAAACAACTAGGGGTAGCCTGCACAGCTAGCATTCAAGAAACTGCTTGGGAAAATAGAGGAGTCTTCAGCTGCCACCAACAACGCCCCATATGAGTAGCCCACATGGCCTAGATGGGGAGATCATTCCACATCACGGGAGGCACCATGTGGCTTGCCATCTCCCATGCAGGACCAAATTTCCACTGGGGGGCTGTGATGTGGTGAGCAGAACCTACCTTCAGAACATACAGACCAGAAGGTCTTCCTGGAAGGAGGCACGTTCTTAGGTATTTATTTATGTATAGTTTTTCTATCCCATCCCATTACTAAAAGTCTCTGGTATGCCAGTACAGAACTCTTAGGGTCTCCTAAAACTGCAGTAACACCATAAATATGGTTTGGCAGCCAGCAATGCAGTCGCATGTTCACAGAAGGATGGCTGGCTGAGCAGGCCACCTTCGACCCACCCGGCTGCAGCTTCCGTACCCCTCCCAAGATCTGTGCCACACAAGGTGCACTTGAGTCTGCAGTGTTCTCTGCAGGGACTTCTTAAGCATGGGCTGTTCTTGCAACAATAGCCAGGCTTACATTGCACCAACGCGCCCGCAATGTCTAGATGTTCTTCCCTCCACCAATGGGGATTTCCACATGGTTGGGGAAGCAGACTGAACATGGAGGAAGGCTGGCATGTGTCCATCTCTTGGTATTTAGTTATTGCTGTTGCAGAAAGCAGTGGCCTGCTAGGAGAGAAGTACCAATATGCAATATACATACCCTTTGCTTTGTACCCTGAGGCCAAATGTACCAGGTGGCCCTTCTCACTGATGACATACCAATCCCAGAGTGTCGGAACCATGAGAGGAAGGGATTCCCTTGAGAAAGATCTTCTGCTCATCTTTTGGAGATTTTTTTATTTATTCACATATTTATATGTTGCCTATAACTGCCAGAACGGCCTCCCTAGGCAGCTCACAAGAAATATTCCCTTGTCTCATGGTGGAGCGTCCAAGCTCTCTGTGTAGTATTTTCAGGGCACTGGAGAGGCTGCCCTAGGAAGGAGATATGGGGAAAACCACATACACCAGCAAAAGCCTGTATGCAAGTCACAAAGAGACCCACAAAAGGGAAATCTCCTTCCTCTTCTTCATCTCTGCTCAGCCCATAGAGGATTCTGTGCCAGCTGATGTATTTCCTTTTTCTTCTCTGACTTTTATTAGTTACTGGAGCATTACATTCAGCCAGCCATGGAAACTGAAAGTGCTAAATGAGTACTTTTATTCCATCAAAATCATTGTGCGGATGCTGAGCCCAAGTTAATACAATTGCTGTTCAGATTAATGAAGCAGCATTAGCAGCATCTCCTCTGTAATTAAACACTTCCATGGTTGACAATAGTATTAAAGATGTACCAGATGTTGAAAGCTCAGTGGTGAAACTTAAAACTGTTAAAACTGAAGGGGTCACCTGTGAAACACAATCCCCTTAGCAGTCACTTTCAGAACCCATCTCTAGGATAATTTTGTTTTAGGATTTGGTAAAGGTGTGTAGCTACCACCACTGTTGTTTTTATCAACCTCTCATCTACATCTGAGGATTTTCTCATTAGGTTCTGAGCAAAAGTAACATAAACTGAACTTGTTCCCAAAATTACCTTTTTTGACCTTTCCCAAGATGATAATTATGAAACCAGTCAGCTTAGAAGACTTGTTAAAAAAGATCTTATAGAGTAGTCACAGAAATGCCCCTCTTGTGTGCTGGTGTGGAATTTCAAAATTAACATTTTGGTTCATGTGCTTCTAATAATCACTGACCCTCACTTCATGTACTTTCCACAGGAAATGAATGCAGCAGAAATTACTTTGACCCTCTGATGGATGAGGAAATAAACCCAAGGCAGTGTGGGATGGAGGTCACCAAAGAAGGTGAGGCAGAATTAAGTATGTAATTTTTGTGTCAGAATATTCTTCCCCATTCATGGAAATGAGGTGACAAAGATCACAAATTCGGTTCCATTTAAATATCCAGCCTACAATTTAAATTATAAGTCTTAGCTGCTCTAAACATGATGGGAAGTCTCAGTAATTTTTGATGAAGGACAGTGTGTTAGTGGACAAATACAAGCAACTCAGTGTTACATTTGGTGTGGCATGCAGAATCCAGGTTGTGCTTCTCCGCTGTAGCTGAAATTGAAACAAAATATGTCCACCTAAGCATGCTAGTTAATTAAAATGTTTTAAATACCAAGCCCAAACTGGCATAGCAAATTGTATAATTTAGGAGGTCTGACTTTGAATAAAGATGTTGCAGAGCTAAATACTATGCGAGTTCACAACCAGGTTTTTGCTGAGAAAAACAAGTGTTTTCCTAGCATCTCAATCCTGTATGGAAAATGCAGCAAAGTTAGAAAGATCATCATTCCATTAATGTTTTAAAAATTCTTTTTCTAGCTTACCTCAAGATTTGTAGCATGCTTTCAAAGATATTATTTTCTTTAAAACAACAATGAGAAGCAGATACCTGCATACTAAAAGAAGACAACGTTCCTAAGAATACTAGGTTAATATGTTTTCTATAGAAGCAATGCTGAAAGAAAATCTCCTAAGCCATTCATTCACTTTTATTTTTAAATCTAAAAGATAAACTACTTCCTCCTGATTTTCATTAACCGGTGTCGTCGTCTTCTGTAGCCCTTATCTGCTCCTGTCCTGTGTAGGTGCTTAGGACAGTTTGTTCTGGTGAAGCAGGCAGAATTGAATCAACTATTGTAGTCCCATTTATTTATTTATTAGACTTATATTTTATTTATCTATCGATTTATATCCTGCCTTTTTCCTACAAAGGGCTCAAGGCAACTTACATCATTCTCCTCCTCCATCTTATCCCCACAACAACAACCTGTGAGGTAGGTTGGGCTGAGAGTCTGTGACTGGCCCAAAGTCACCCAGTTGGCTCCATGGCTGAGCAGGGATTAGAACCCAGATCGTCTGAGTCCCAGTCCCGTGCTCTTAACCACTACACCACACAGGCTCTCTCTTATATCCCACTTTTTTCTCATAACAGACTCAAAACAGCTTAAATCATTCTTTCCCTGCTGTTCTCAGACTTATCCGCACAACAAGAACCCTGTGAGGCAGGTTGTACTGAGAGTCTATGGCCAGCCAAGTCACCCAGTTGGCTCCATGGCTGAGAAGGAACTAGAACCCAAATCTCCTGAGTACCAGTTCCATGCTCTTGACCACAACACCACCAACTTTCACTTCAGTGCCAGCCCCAAGTTGTTGAGGGTCCTTTGGTAAGACACCATTGTTGTTGCTCCTTGCTACCACTTGCTTTCTTGGTGGGCAGAGAGCCAGGTGGCAATAGGCAGGGCCACCTCCCGCTCTTCCTTTTCACCACCACCATCACCTTCACTTGGTCCACAGCAAGAGGCAGGTGAACCAACAGGTTGCCGTGATGAAGAGGAAGTGCAGCTCCTGGGGCCTCCTGTCGCCGGCTTCCAGCTTGGGTGCAGACTCAGCCGCTGCCAGCCCTTGGCCCCGGCTGTCCGCCCTCTGCTAGTGAGCCTGAGAATCTGCAATGCCGCCCTAATGATACTTCAAATTGGCGTTTCGTGAATTTACAAGAGGAAGGGATTTCATAACTGTAGCAGTAAAACTCAAGACAAATGTATGTATCCTTGATATGTAAATATGGCACATGGAAATTCAAATGCTATGGTCTACTTTAGCAATGAAGCAAGAAAAATGCTTCAAAGAGCTGTCTGTCTGTCCATCCATCCATCCAGTATATTTATTTGTGTGGACATTACAGAAAACACAGCTCATCATCCAGTACTATTATCAACCCTATTTCCATATTTATTTATTAAATTTCTAACCTGCCACATTAGTCGTAAGGCTCATACTGTCATCTCATTGTCCCTGGCCTTTTGGAGTGTGAAGATAAGCAACAGAAATTGCATATTAAAGTACTCCCTTGTGTTGCAATGTAGAACAGATAGAAACCCTTAGAGAAGTCCATCCAATTTGTTTATTGTGTCTGACTTAATATGCTGGGTCTTCCTACGTCTCTGGGAGCCATGTCTAAATGGCTATCTTGTTAAATTTCTCTTCCTGCACCTCTAGTAGCACTGCCACTGGAGAGCCATGTGCAAGTCCAGCTTACTAGAGGTAGCCTAGCCATGGGATCCAGCCTCATGTTGGCTGAGATCCACAGCACCATTGTATAACACCAAATGTTCTTTATTCCAAGCATAATTACTTTGATCACTTGAGGACCCAGATTGGGAGTTGGAGTTTTGCATAATGTGTGCCCAGAAAATGCACACTTAGTTTTGAAAAGCCCAATTCTCTTCTCCCACCCTCCTGTCCACATCATTCTCTCTCTCTCCCCTCTCTCTTTCTCTCTCTCTCTCTCTCACACACAGAAATATAAAATAAGTTTTTCAAAAAGTTATTTTTCCTTCTTCTCCTTGATGCTTCTGCCTAAATCCACCCTCCTTCCCATTTGTCAGACATTTAAGGAGGAAAGCTCTGGTGGAAACTGGCAAGACTGCAGCAGGGTGGGTGGCTGGTGGTCTTAATTTGAAAACCTGAGAGTTGGCAGGTGGTGATTCAGACTATGCAGCTACACTTGGCTTTGCAAGGAAGAGGGCTATAGGGTGAATAGCCAAAAGAAAACTATTGTCTCAATAAACTAGAGGGAGGTAGATGATACTCTCTTGATCCCTATATTATAGGATCACAGCATGTGGTCCATCGACTGCATGTTGGCCCATTCCTGTCCTGTATAACATGTCCAGGTCAGGCTGATGTGTTGGAGCAACTCGGAAATCGGATCTTGTTAGTCTTGCTGCACCCTCAGCTGCTGGGTCTGAGAGTAAAGTGGGCCTGACAGAATTATTACTTCCTTTGGCCTTAACGTCTCTGCTTCTTAAATCATGACTGGATTTCCTCCCTCTTTCTCCCAGCAAAAGCTTTTACCTACAACTGCTCCTCTGGCCCTCATTCCAATGCTGCAGATAGTTGCCCTTCAGATGTTCTCCCAGCCCTGCGCCAGCCTCTTATTCATGATGAGTAGCCTAAAGACTGCTTAACGTTGCCATCCTAAACACATTGCAGTCCCAAACACAAGCACTGAACATGGCAGAACTGGCTTCTGAGTACACCTCCGTAGCTGTAAATGTCCCAGCTACATAGCAGGGCAAGGTTGCATGCCTCTTGCCCACACACACCCCTTTCCCCTGGGCTCATGCCAATTCCACCGGAAAGGCACATTCCATCATCCCGTATCTACATGGCCATCCCATGTCTAATGGCCTCCTAGCTTTATGAGGATAGCGCCTGGATAAGAAACTCCAGTGCAGCTGATAATCTCTTGAAGAGCTGCACTGCATTATATTTGCATGCTTGAAAAGAGGTGCAGGACTGTCTTCACCTCCCTTGGGCTTGATTTACTCTGTTCTTCCATAGCTACCTTTTCAGCAGAAAGGGGACAGGTGAAGCCAACATTCTTGATCTGTGCCTCGTCCAAGAGGCAAGCAGAACTTTGCTATCAGTTGCCAGTCCCTGTCAGCATCACTGCAGAGCTGTTTTACATGTTATTTCTTTAAGGTGTGCTTCTGAAACATGAGGGGTCTTCTAACATTTTCACACTTTTATATTTATAATTTATAAATATATTTTATATATTTTTTGTTGATGGTGTTAAAAAGTTGGTACGCCGCTGGGAAAAACGCATCACAAAGGAAAGTGACTATGTAGAAAAGTGATGTAATTTGTTTTTGAAATTCTTAATAAGTATAATTTTAAAAAGTGCAGAAACTTTTTGAAGTATCCTTGTATTTCTATATGCTGGTAGATACTAGTACCAATACTAATTACATTGCACAACAGAACAGAAATTGCTGCAGAAATTTGCCCCCCACTGTCAAAATTCAGTGGCAAATCACCAGTTTCCCTCATTTCCATAGCCAGTGCTAGTTACATTGCACAAATGTTGGTTTACTGTAGCATAACATCATGAATGCTAATGTGGAGCCTTATTGGATATCCATGTATGCAAATTATATATCAAATGGATATACTTGCCAGGGAGTTAGGAGAGGCTGTAGTTTCTTAGGTACATAGCACAGGTGGTGACAGTGATGTACAGGTTTTGTTGAATCTATCTACTCTACATTAGTTCATGAGCATTAGCACAAAATTTGCATTAATTGACATGGATTAGTGCATTTGCTAATATGCTCTTGTACTATAAAGAGCATCAGCCCACATGTAAATTAGTGCAAATCCCTCTCCCAACATGAAAAACCAGTCTGAAAGTCTACATCACTTGGGAAGAAGCTGGTAGGCAGAGGAACCTGCAGTTCAGTTTCCCAGAAATCTGAAATTGTTTAAATCTGTTCCATTTTCTTTGATTAAAATGCCTTCCACAGCAGAGAAGTAATGCTGCATTTGACAAATTATTCTAAATTTTCATTTGGTCACTATTTTTATGTATCTCCACTCTCTTTCTTTATGCTTCCTCTTGTTGTGTTTTGTACATTCAAATTTCTTGGATCAGGGAAAGAGTTCTTTTTCCTGAGTAAAATTTATTTAAAAAGAGTATCATTTGGCTATTTGAGAGATATTGAAGTAGCATTTAAAACATTGTACATGTTCTGGGTATACTACCTTTTTTCTTAGCTGCATTCTTGCAATAGTTTGCAGCATCCTATTCAAAGAAATGAGCTTTTCCTCTTTGTGCATTTTGTTATACATCTTCCTTAAAAAATTTTGACTTTCTGTAAATATCCAAAGCTATCTGACCTTCATTATTTTACTTCTTTTAGTGCCAGTCAAGTTGGACGAGAGACTCCTTTATGACAAATTGATGACATTTCTAGATGAAGAGAACAGAAAGTTGGCAATACATGGTAAACTAAAAACACCTTTCTTTCAGAAGGCTTGAACCATGTACAACTGGTGTCTCTTTTGGTGCATTTGCACATGCAAATGTCTTGATGTTTCAAGGTGTGTGTGTGTAAGTTTGTGTGAGAGAGAGCAAGGTGTATGACTGAGTGACTTGCCATGAGCTCTACATATGTTTAAATGCCACAGGTCATAAAATAATATCAAGCAGTCATATTATAAGAGGCTCATGAATACAGATTTATAGTCTGTCTAGCAAATAGATTAAACTCAGAAATGGTACCAAGAACCAAAGCAATGCACTACTATAGCAGAACAAGGGTCTTTACTACCCTCTGATCCCTGTGGCTTCAGACAAAAAGATACAATGAAATAATCATTAAAGCCATCCCTCTAATTTGGTGGCTAATAATATTAAATAATCAGTATTTTCTTTCTGTTCTCTAGAAATCTCTCCATAGGTCGCATAATACCAAAATATCAATTTTCCAGTGGTGGTCAGCTCAAAAGACGTATTATTTTAGTCCCAGGTAAATTCCAGCCTTAAGGACACAAGGAAGCACCAACCATTTAGGTTCAGAAAAACATTTTTGTAGTGCACACAACTGATTTATTCTTAGGAAACCAGAGCAACCAGGGATCTAAATATAACATAAAATGTGGCATTTCTAAATAATTCTATATCCTGTACTGGATACAGCTTAACTCTATCTAGGACATTTTTGTAGCAGTATTCAGAAATCTCAGCACAAAAATGTATTAGCTGAGCAAAAGTTGACATGAAATAGCTGTAGAAATTTTTCTCTGGTCTTCTTTTGTTTATGGAAGAGTTAGGATGAGGAAGATGAAGGGAAAATGCTTAGTTAGTTTTGTGTCTTGTAGCATATGGAAGGAAAGCATAAATGTGACATTTTCCCATGGAAATGTGCGTGGGGGGGGGGTGGACAAATATAAAATCATGAGTTTCCCTTCTGATAACCCAGATGAGCTGAGATGTGGACAACGTGGATGTTGTCATCTTTTAGTGATCCTAATATGGGAAAATGAAGAAGGGGTTGCTCTTGATTATTTGTGATCAAAACTTATGGAACATCAGAGCAGCGTACACTACAGTCTTCAAAAAGACTTGCAAATGCGAGCATATGCTTGCAATGGTGAGAAGAAGAATGGACTGAAACAGTCAGTTCAGTTCCACATTCAAGTTGGTTGCTGTCAAAAAGCACATCTATTTTTCAGTGAGATTTTGCCAACTTTTTCTCTAAGTTCTGGAAATCAAAGACAAATCTTGCCAGAACTGGGAAAAGGCCTTTGAAAACTGATTTTTCTAAAACTCCAGGGAACTGTGCAGTCTCTGAGCTGATCTGACCAAGCTTGGGGGTGTTCCCTGACCCAAATCAGTTCAAATCTCTATTCTGGGATGGGGAATGTTTAGCAGATGTTCTTGGACTGCACCTCCCATCATCCCTGGCCAGCATAGCCATGGTGAGGGATTATGGGAGTTGCAGTCCAAGAACATATGAAGACTATGCCTGATGAAAACATTCTTTGTAGCCCCCATCCCAGTGGAAATAGGTAGAACTGGAGGAGGTTCCAAATGTGCCCCAACTAGTGTTGGGATTGAGAAGGGCAGTTTTTCTTGGTGTGCGTTCCCAGGGCACTCTGATCTGGACTTGGAGGATGAGGAGCGGGGAGGGGGCTTGGAATGCGAGACAATTCTAGACATTGAGAAGATTGGCATGCAGAGAAAAGGCATGATTGTTTCCAAAAGTGAAACAGTAAGAGACCACATGGCTGAGTGAATGGTACACAAAAAAATTAATAAAGAAAATAAATAAGTAAAAATAAAAGGCTACTCCTGAAAGGATAGGGCCCAAAAATACTCATAAGGAAAGTTCCTAGAAGTAAGTGCTAAATTGGGTTCAACAACCCTCCCTGTGCTTGCTCAGAGATTCATTCTGGGTGATTGTGCTTTTGGAAAACATGTTGGGGAATAAAGAACGGTTTTCAAGAAAGGTCTGTGGCTTTGAGTGTGTGAAGGGAGGAAACCTAGCTGACAACAATTGGGTAAGGGATCAGGGATGAATTTTATTGGAAAAAAGGAGGCACTGGGTGGAGACAGCTCTGAGGAGGACACGTCAGAAGCTCCCAGAATGTGGCATCAACTTCCCTAGGATACATTGAGTTAAAAGTATTTTACAGTGTGTTGAATCAGTCTGAGTCTAAGAACTACAAAACTGTGACAAAGAAAATGAGTTCCAGTAGATATAGTCTACCACATTCTTGTTTGTAGACACAGATTTTGAAAAGAAACATGACGAAGACACTTTCAGTTCAGCATGGCCCTTCAGCGGTGACGAGACCTGTGATCTTGCTAAGGAAGTTGAGGATGAAGAAACTCTCACTTACACTGAACAATTTGACAATGATGTTCAAGATGAGATTATTCTTCTCAGCAAATTTTCCTTGGAACAGGTCAGAAAGAAATACCAACACCCCACTCCATTGCTCCATTGCTATATTTTTAATGTCTGTCTTCTCACTTACCATCTGCATTAGCAGACTTCTTCCACTCTCTTCCTACTTCTTTTGCTGCAAATTTTATAATGCTTGCCAAAAATATACCTCTCAAACCAATAAGGGAGCCAAAACACAGTGGTATTCCATAATCTGCATTTTTCTATGCTTGGCAATGCAGTCTGTTGGAGAAAAATTAACAAAAATATGTATATATTATAGAAACATGCATATATTATAGAAGCATCTACACAACACAACTTTACATCAGTGGCATGTATTTGAAAAAAAATATGTACAGAAATGCATATATCTGGGTAAAAATACATGCAAATTGCCATGGAGATATAAAAACAACAAGAAGCAACAAGAAGCCTGTACAGAAATAGGAGAAAAGAGGTTTAAGACCTAAGAATCTAACAGTCTCAGCAAACCCTGCACAACACCGTAAATAAGCAATTCTAAAAGTGGGAGACTGGCTTAGATTAAGGTTGGCTGTTGCATTGATGGATAAGCTCCTACAGTGCATGAAATACACTCTGACACTGATGCAGAGGGTTGTCCAGAACAGTTTTTCGGGAGGCAATGACAGTGGGGAGAAGAAGAAATCATAAAGGTTGCCCACTCACCCCTTTACTCCAGCTTGAGAAGAAAGACTCTCCATCCAACCCACTGCTGTATCACAGGCAATCAATAAATAAACTGCTAAATGCCTACCTGTTAAAGAAATGCTGCAGAGCAGGTTAATTTGAATGCGGTGAAGAGCTCAGTTTTAGGTGTGGCACTCACGGCCTCACTGGGCTTTTGCCCAGGAAGTGGACAGCCCTCCTCTTCTAAGCCTTAGAATGTTTGCTCAGGGGGAAACTTAGATAAGTCACCCTTTTGAATTAATATCTATTGATTTGCAATGCAAGAGGTGTTGCTCTTCTGATCAGTTGGTCATTTTGGAGTAGATCCCCCAATTATCATGCCATTATTGACAGAAAGAGAAAAAATGCTATAGGGCAGTAATATCTGCAGTAATAGGGCAAATATGTACTTTCTTTAGTACATATCTAAAGAAAGAAGCAAGGCAAAATGAGGGCAAGCTATGGGTTTTCTACAGTAGACCTAGATTTGAAATGTTGCATGTCAGTCATCCATTACAGAATCTGTGGAATGTCAGAGGGAATTTCCTTCTGTTAAACCAGGGGTCTCAAACTCAACTTACCTGGAGGCCGCTGGAAGTAGAGTCTGGGTGAGGCTGGGCTGCATCAAGTATTCCACCACTGTGGTGGTGGTGGGCCGCTCATCCTGTGGCCGGCCCGGGTGCCACCGGCACTTTGAAGGCTGCAGGGCCCCTCTCCCGTGCCCTGCCCAAACTGGCAATTGGCCCGTGGGCCGCGAGTTTGAGACCCCTGTGCTAAATTATCTCTTTTTATCCATATAATTCTGAAATAATAGGAAAAAAACCCCTCCATAAAAGTTGTATCTCTGGAATTTACAAGTCACATTTCAAGTCATGTCTACCCAGAAATAAGAACTATTAAATTCAACAAGATTTACTCCTGTGTAAGTGTGTATAGGCCTGCTAAACTTCTTTATAAATTTCAAATGAAGCATGGTATTATGAAATATAATAAGTATGATAGGAGACTCCCAATGGTACACAGTTTTAAATATGAACAGAAGTTATAAACACTCAGTTTACTGTCTCTTTTTATATTGCTGTGAGTTTTAAAAAAAATCTTTATATCACAGCTGTAAGTAAAAACTAAATTTTTACTCTGACTCCTTATGCCATAGTCCATCGCTGCAGGTATTTGAATGTTTATAAACTCTCATTTGTAACCATTGAATACCTTCCCTTAACTGGCAAGGGAGAATTTGACTTTACATGTAATAGAACATATAGCATTTAATTAGCTCTTAATAGTCACAAGTGGAAGAGATAATTATTTAATTGGGTTTCTCCCTTTTTATGGTAGCCTTAATTGATTTGTTACTTGCCTTCAGGTAGAGACTCAAAGGTATTACATTACGTACACGGTATCCTGGGGTTTCTACTTCCTGTCCTTTTTGTTAGTCTGTCATCTCCTTCTCCACTTGGACATGCCACCGTATAGAATTAAAAAAAACCCAAAAAGGAAGCAATACAATGCTTTAGATGTAACACACATTGTTCTGTTGTGGGCAATAAGGCACACCAGGAATGCAAGATCTTCCCTGGACTGGTAAGTATTGTCTTTGAAAAGTAGCACCACATTTGAAATTTCTTCATATTGACCCACCAGAGAGTCTGATAGCTCTATCTGATGTGCTTTGTTTTATGGTGAATTTGGGAAGATCCAGTATTCCACTAATCCTATTATGCAGCTTATATTCTTCCTACAAGATAGTTCTTCTAAATATGCTTCTTCTGGCTTTGGGGAATTTGGCGGTGCTAACCTATAAAATTTAGACAAAAAAAAGCTACAACCCTAACAAAATACTTTATCATTTAAGTTTCCACCTGCCTAAACCTCTGGAGAGCTGCCATCAAGCAGAGCAGAGCAGAGCAGAGCAGAGCAGAGCAGAGCAGATTATTCTAGGTCAGATGGACTAATGGCCTGATTTGGTATAAGGATGGGATTTCATATGTGTACAGATGGGACTATTCAAAGGCAGCTGTGCTGACAATAAACTATTGCTTGAAATATGGCAGAAAATTTCAACAGAACTACAACTGATGTGTGGGGCAGATAAATGGACCCGCTATATTTTCAATGCATGGGATGCCACTGTAGTAGCACTGGATCAGGCCCTTCTATGAGCAGGCTGTGCTTTACACAATAATTGTTGATTAAGCTTCAAGGGATTGTCTTGCTGATTGTTCCTAGACTGTGGAACTCCCAGCTGATGGAGGCTAAGTCAGTTCCCTCTAGGCCAGGGGTCTCAAACTCAACTTACCTGGGGGCCGCTGGAAGTAGAGTCTGGGTGAGGCTGGGCCGCATCAAGTATTCCACCACCACGGTGGGGGTGGGCCGCTCATCCGGAGGCCGGCCCGGGCGCCGCCAGTGCTTTGAAGGCCTCAGGGCCCCTCCCCCATGCCCCGCCTGTCCCGGCAATTGGCCCGCGGGCCGCGAGTTTGAGACCCCTGCTCTAGGCTGTCCTGCTACTGGCAGGAAAAGACCTTTCAAATATCCATCCATCCATCCGTTTTTTTTAAATTCAAGAGGGGTTTTGCCCAGTAAGCTGGTCTCTTGGGTTGGATGCTGTTTTTATTCTGTTCTTGAGGTGTTTTGATTGTTTTAAAAGAAGTTTTAATTGTTTTTGTCAAGTTTAATTTACAGATTTGTAAGATGCCCTGAGTTGATTGTAAGATGCCTTGAAGGCCATTTTTCTTGGGGAAAAGGGAGAAAATAAATCAATCAGCCACAGAAGCAAATGAATATAATTGTGTGTGTGTGTGTGTGTGTGTAGGGCATACAATTTCTTTTTATGGGTTAATTAACAGTATACTCATTATGCCACATGCATAGTGTAAACCTATCTATTTATAAGTAAGTCCCTCTGAATTCATTGAGACTTTTTCCTAGGTAAGAGTGTCTAGGGCTGTAGCAACAAAGAACAGCAGCACAGCAGTCCTTTCGAAAACAAACACCACCTTGCACATTTTATTCTATTGCAAATCCTAGCTGTGCATAAATTGCTCTATGCTGCTGGAAATATTTGTATTTTTAAACTACTTCCATTGACTTGATCATGTACAGCCTTGAAACAATTAGTGTTCAGGTAAAATGTACATAACTGGATTTGAGATTTGGTGAAGAAGAATAGAAATGTGCAAAAGATGCTGTTTTTGTTTGATTGTTATCACATAAAATAGCTGCCTTGTGTTATCTATAATACTAACTCCCCTCCCTCTTTTTAAAGGGATTCATCCTAAATGTTAGATAAAATTGTATCACAAATAGATCTTTACCTCTTTATTATGGAATAGCATGTGTTCTTAAGACAACATAGACAGAAGAAAACAAGAATCAGACAGTCTTTGAATGAATGCTTGTTGGGAACATTTTTTTTATATATTTTGTATTGTTAAACCATTCCAAGACTTAGTAATGGGATGTATAGAAATGTTTTAAACAAAACAAAACTACTTATTTATGTATTTATTTTTGGGTTGCATAAGCCACACCAATAGTCCTAAATAGGACTCTTATCTTGGAAAGAGCATCATGTATTTATCCATTTAAACTCTGCCTGTGCTTTCATTCTCCTCTCTGTGCAATCTGATTCAGTCGACTCAGAAATAAGTCCCATTGAGTACAGTGAGACTTATTCACAGGTAAGTGTGTACAGGATTATGGCCATAGGGTGCATCCCAAGAGGGATGATCATGGTCCCCTGAACTCAGATGATTGCTGGCATCCTATGATGTGTGGGAGGAACATGGAGGCTGCTTGGTTTGGGAATGAGGGTGGCAGCTGTTCTTGGCACACTCTCAAGAGTCACACCAATCAGGATTCCAAGGCAGGATGGAGGGGAAGAGGTGGAGGGAACATGTGGCATTCAAGACCCTGAGATGATAGAAGATTATCTGTCCAGGAAGGCCCTAAGAATAGCCAAGATGGATGAGAAGCTGGGTGGGGACACAGCAAAGGAGCTCTCAGAATCAGATGAATCTGGTTCAACTCTTGACCCTGCAGCATGGCATCAAAGATGGGAAGGCCATCTAGGAGATGGGCTTATGGAATGGAGGTGTGTCGCTTTCAAATGGGCCCTTTGGAAGGGATTAGGCCCAGATGTACTCAAAAGCAGGGTTTCTGGAAGTAGTTGCTTAGACTGGGTTGAACGAACTGCTCTGTGCATGCGCTGGGATGCATTCTACAAGGGCAGTGCTTGTTGGGTGTCCTTTGATGCATAAAGAGCTTTTGCAAAGAAATGGTCCATAGCCTTGGATGCGTGAAGGGCGGAAAACATGACTCAGGACAACAAGAATTTCAGCTGTCTGACTGGGAGGGAAGGAGGTCCCCCCCCCCCAGGATACTGGTACTGTGGTTCTGCTGGTCTGCTCAGCTCCCCACTCTTTAAACCCCATCTCTGAAGTTGCAGTTGTGCCCCAGGAGAAGGAGCTAGCAGTTGCATGGGTGGGGAAGGCCCTCCCACCTGGGAGCAAATTTCTGAGGTTGGATCTGGGATTGTCAAGCGTTGAATGGCCACACAGATACTGTCCAGTGGCCTTAGCATTGTGCTGTTCATTCACTATTAACTGCTACCCTGCCTTAGGTCTTCTGGCAATACTTCGTGGCTTCTATTTTGACCACAGGGTCCTAGACTAGATGTAAGGGGGAAGATGCAGGCATGGCTTCTTTTTCCTGGGCTAAAAGCAGCTGACAGGAGAGGGTGGGATGAACCAGATCACAGCTCTAGTGCTGGAGGAGGTGGATTAATCTTCCACACTTAATTTCCACTCCACATGGAGGAGAAGAAATTCACTGTACCTGGTTTTTCTCCCCCCTGTTCATGAACCCTGGTTCTCACATCCGTAGCTAATAGCCACTGCAGGATGCATTTCAAGTTGGGAAAATGGTGGAGGGAAAAGAGAAAAATCCCCTTAGTTCAAATTATCCTCCTCTGGCATGGTTGCTTT